ATATATATATATAAGAGAAATTAATTTAATTTTTGCTGTTTATACTGTTTATTATGATTAGATAAATGACTAGATTGATGAAAATTTTGTTTGAAATCTTAATATTCCCAATCGATATTCTCTCTTTTTTTCTCTTTTTGTTCTTTTTAAATTATTGAGTAAACGAATAAAATATTCTTTCTATTTAATGTTATATATATATATTGTTCTATCTTTTTTTTTAACATAAGAACAATTCATATTATTAGCTTAAAATAAAGATGGATCAGAGAGTCAAAGGTCAATATCGTTAAATGATAGCGTGCGCTACTTTATTTTTCCAAATGTATTTGCACCAGTATAAATAAGCAAGACAAAGTACGAACAAAGTGTATCATAATCAATTGATAATAGTTAGTCGGTATTTCTTCTGAACTCGAATATTATAGAAATATCGACTCAATATATACTATTTATTATTATGTTATTACTTTTATTTTCACTATTTCACTTATTCTTACCCACGTCAAAAATATAATATTCTACCAACAAATATCGAATTGTGAGTCAATGATTAGAATATAAAATTTATTATATACTCAAATGAGAAAAATTTTTTTTTCTTAAAATAAAAAAAGTTTTTAATTAAAATAAACATTATAAATAATTTCTTTATATAAATTAAATAATATAAATTTTATTTTATTTTTGTATGCTTCCGTTTAATTTCAATTAAATTTTTTGTCAAATACATTTTTTCCTATAATAATAATAAATGATAATATGAACGAAATAATATATGATCCTCTTAATTAAGTTATACGTAGCAGAGCAGAATACTAATATATCTCAGATGAAAATATAATACTACGTTATCGAATACACGTTTTTTTAAATCCGTAAAACGATTAATAAGAAAATTTTGATCGCATTTTTTCTTTCATTGAATATAATTTCATTCAAAAAATTTACAAGTCACGATTGTTATAACTTAATCATTTAAAGTGTTAGTCGACAATATGAAAGGAATAATAAAATTTATATGTTTAAATTAAATAAATATACACAATTAAAAAACCCTGTTGATATGGTATTTCTTTAATAAAAAATAAACAAACAAAACGATCTTATAAACACGATGGTGAGCAGATGAGGTAATCAACAAATAGAAGGGAATCAGTTTGGGCATCATCGATATTAATTACAAGTTTCTCTCGAATGGTATTCACAAAAGTCACATGATACTCCATTGTTTCTTCTTCCCGACATTTACCTAAGTAATGTACGCGGCTCGTACTTGTTTACGTCCCTATCTTTAACCAATGATTAATCCACAACCCAGTCTAAATTGCGGTTTACTATGATTTATCATACCACTTAACGCAAATGTAAATGGCAATGGCTGTAATTTCTTTTCCAAAACCGCACCTACAGTCCAATTTGTATCTACGCTTCCTATAAATAAAAATGCATACATTAACAAATTTTAAAAATAAATTACAAATGAATGATACAATTAACAAATAGCATATTTAAATGCTACCTCTAAATATTAAATCAGCTTTAGGTAAATCGATTTGATAAGCAATTGCTCCGGTAGATTCTTGTATTCTGCAATTAATTTCCAATTCTACACCAACTTGCAATTGTTGACTAGCTTTTTGGTGAAAACATAGATGACATCCAGATAAACCTATTGAAAATCTTGTTGTAAGTTCTTGTTAGTTGTTACTTCTAAATAGCTTTTTAATCATTATAAAAATATTCTATTATAACTATTAAATTCATGTATCTCCGCTTACATACCTAAGCTACCACTAATCGTAGAATCTCCGTTCGTGTATCTTCCAGCGGCAGAGAGAACAGCGACTTGACCTCCTGGCACAGCTGGACCTCGTTGATAAGCGAGTTCTCCACCCAACGCAACAGATGGAGTTATGCTTTGAAGATAATGCATTACAAAAACACCTAGAAAACAATTTATTCCTTACTATTATTGTTCCTAAAATTTTATGTAATTGATCTTTACCTCGCACGCTTACCAGAACCATTAAGTATATCCGGATTACCCAAAGTCAAAGAAACTGTATATGCATCACCACGATAATCCGTTGTCATTTGGACAGCTGTAAATTTACTTTTCTGTACTTGAGTAGCTAATTTACCTCTTAATCTTTCACCAAATTGATGAATGATATTAGCATTAAGATTTCCACTTGGGTCTATATCACCCAATAGCACTGGATAAGCTTCTGAAGGTACTGGTTGCTGTGTACCAACATAAGTTGCTCCAAATCTGAAAATTTTTAAATATTATATGATAGATTATTTGTAATTAAATAATATTTAAATTTAAAAATTATAAAAATAATATATCAATTTCAATCCTACCTATACCCAGATTGTGCAATGGAACTCATGCTTATTGTATGAGAAATTTGAAAATGATTACTAAGACCTTTATTAAACATCAGTTTTGCACCTTCGAAGTTTGCAGGAAATACATCTATCATAATATTAATAGTTAATATTGAGTTATGTTTTAATTGTATTTGAATAAAAATTTTTTTATTATATACATATAATTACATTAGTAATTAGGCAATAAAATAGATTATACGATATAAAAAAAATGAATTGAAAATATTGATTACGTGATATGCAGATACCTTTACACTTTTTATGAAGATCCTCGATTGTACCAGGATTTTTCAAACCATCAGAAAGTCTACTAGACGAATTCAAAGTCTCAGAAGAATCTGGTTTTTCTAAATTTGGTAATAAACCTGAGGTCGGAGGTGGCGGCGAAGGTGGAGGAGGTACAGAAGCTGCTAATACGTTTCCCATTTTGATAGATTTTATGCGTAAGAATTTTAATAATTTTCGTTTTCCCTCTGTACAAATGACGCAATATCTTACTGTTTCACCCTTGTGAATTCTTACACAAAGACGAATATATTTACTATATATACAAAAATCGTTAATGAAAAATCTTTTGATTAGATAAAACAGCGTGCTTTTGCCTAAGCCGCCATTTGTAAAAGGCAGCCACTGCCGCTCAGACCATGAGATTTCTCTTTTCCTCGAAATATCCCTATCAAGGCAAAAACATTAGGTAAATACTCAATAAACGATAAATGAATTTTCAAACTTAAATTTCAATTTCAATTATTTAAATTAATTTATTTAAATTAAATTCTAAATTACACATATAAATTGATATTAAAATTTTTACTTATATATGATAATAAAATAAAAATTAACCACAAAACATTTAAACAATTTCTATACGTATTATTGGTCATATCTAATTTTTATTCTGATTGGTCGAAACTTATTATATCTTGTTACTTTTTCTCCAATAAAATATAATATCTGGACATGTTCGAAACGAATTAATAATTCGCTTCTTTTTATTGATAATATATATCTATATATTATAATCATTGCTTAAATGCTAATTTTCAATTTTCCTTAAATATAAATTATGTTTTTAATTAATATAATAAACAATTATATAACTAATATTGAATTTTGATATTTTATTTTTTTTTAAATTTTGTGTACTTAACATATAAACATAAATGTACATATATGTGTACGCATATTCATATATATATATATATATATATATATTAACAAACAAAATTTTCAATTATCTATTTAAAATAGATAAATAATTTTACATTTATAAATATATATTATACGAACTTTGTAGCAATAGCTAATAATTTTGTATAATCTGCACCTTTACTATGTGTTTTTTCTTTCATAATTGTTCTGAGAATATGAGGAATTGGTACATGGATCCTAGTACCCAAAGGTGTACCATTGTCATCTATAAGAACTATATTATTGCTATCAAATCTTGGAACTTTAGGATTTTGTCGTTGTTTCAAACCAACTAATATACCTTTTTTCTTTTCACCCTTTATGGCAACTAATACTCTGTCTCCTATATATTTTATAAATAAAATAAATATATATTATCAAAATATCACAATAATTATCTTACCTATATAACCAATTCCTTTTTTATTATAAACATGAATGCAACGTGGTGGTTTTCCTTCCATCATAGCTTGTTTTCCAATTTCACTATTATCTACAACTCTTAATCTTGTCAATTTTATTATTTGATTACATATTGTTGATGTAGAAACATTCCTGGATAAAATATTGAACATTATACCATATGTAGGCATTACTGTATTATCTATAATATAAAGAAATAATATTAATTTTTGAATATAATTATTACATTATATTATTATTACAATATTCGATATATTTTTAAATACGATTGTATAATAATAATTATAAATTAAAATTTTCGTTATTAAATATTATTTAATTCAATTTCAAAAAAAACTATTAAAATTTGTATAAAAGAAAAAATAAAATTATACAATTTATTATTTTAATTAAATCATTTTTTTAGTTTTAATTTCTTTAACCTATTAATTTTATAAATCTTTATAAAATTTAATATATATGATGGTTAATACAAAATAAAAAAATACATACTATTGTGTAATGTTAGAAATGTATGTTATAGATGTCTATACTATTTATCTTAATTTATTTTAACCTAATATCTACATTACATTACTTATTTAATTTATTAAAAATTTTTGAAAGAAACTATTTTTGTTTTGTTACGAACTTTAAGAATGGTTAAGAATTGAGAAGAAAGTTAAACATATAACCTATATACAGTTTTATCGGAACACAGTTTTTTTTCCACTAAAATGAATAAAGTTCAACGATGTCGGAAAGCAATTAAACAATTATGCTTCGCTTATATACCTCAAATCAATTTGTTATTTATTCGAAATTATAGTATAGAAGGAGATTTAAGTATAAATGTAACAAAAGACAAGAGACAAAGTAAGAAAACAGAATCCGCAAATTTCGAACAAATTTCGCAGTTTTCAAAAGATCAAGTTGAAAATAATCTAGTAATTCCAAGACAGGATACTTTCGCTTCATTACTTCGGCATTCTAAATTCATAGATGTAAATATGAAATATTTTATTACATTACATTATTGTATCACATTACAATTATTTTTTTACATTACATTACATTTTATTATATATTATATATATTTTATTTTATATAATTCAACTTTTTTTTTTATTTCCTATAATATATATATTATTGTTTTTATATATGTTAATCATATTTCAGCTAGGAAATCCAGAAGGAAAAATAGTATTGGGAGAAATTTTTCATATTATTAATGATGATTTATATATTGATTTTGGATGGAAATTTCATTGTGTGTGCCCAAGACCTCAAAAAGACTCATTGTAAGTTATAAATAAAGTTTTTATCCTAAATCATAATTCAAATTTTATTATTTTAATTTTAGGCAATATAAAAGAGGCTCAAAAGTCAAATTATTAATAAAAGATTTGGAATTATCAACACGATTTTTAGGAGCATCTACAGATCTAACAATGTTAGAAGCAGATTGTATTCTTCTTGGTTTAGTGCATACTTTATCTGACAAAATAAAAGTGTAATTATTTTCTTAAATAAAGAAGAAAAGTTTAAAGATTAAATTATATGTTTTTTTTGTTTTTTATATACATTTTACATACATTATAAATCTAACATAAATAAAATAAAATTTTACATTAGTGTATGTATTACAAGTAAATAAATATATATTTGGTTTAGTTAATATAACTTATTTAATCTTTATTTTACTAATTGTATTAGAGAGTATAATATATATATATATATATATATATATATAATTTTTGTCTCTTGAATCAAGTAACTTATTCTTAGTTTATTCAATTTGCAAATTATAAAATTTATAAACATTGATGTATTATATTTATATTTAATTTATTAATATATTTTTCAAATCTATATTTCTGAAATGAACAAATATAATATATTATAAATCATTAAATAGAAAAATAAAAAAAAGTAAATTTCTTGATTTTTAGATTCAATTTTTTTTTTAATAACACAAATTAATGCTTGAAAATCCCATATTTTTATATTTTACAATCTATTTTAGATGCAAGCTGATGAAAAGAAGTTATTTTTGCAAAAAAAATAAGATTTCTGAATTAAAGATTTTGATAAGAAAATTAAATAAAAATATATATAATATATATAAATATTAAAAACATTTATTTTTATTTAATAATTATTTTACAAAAAATATTAAAAAAATTAAAATCATACTTTAAATATTTTTAATATTATTGAAAAATCATATTAAAAGACTAGATTTATAATAAATATTATATTACTTTAATACTGCTAAAATTGAAAATTTATTATGGAGCTAATTTATTGTATGCTATTTTTAGTGGAAATCGGTTTCATAAGATGAAGAGATGAAATTAATATTATATATTATATTAAATTAATATTATATATTTCATTGATCGCTCATCGTGAAAATTTAAATCGTGATGATATGATTTTAGTAGCAGTATTTTAAGAATAACAATATTTATAAAAATATTTTATATTTAAATCTCATATAAATATTTTTTAAGAATCATTTTATATATAAGTTATATACGTATAATATATTTTGATATGATTTTAATGGTTATATTTACATATAAGATAACATAGAACAGATATAGAATTTTATTTTTATAAAATCAATCAATTCTGCAACATAATAATTATAGATATTCCACATTATATATCATAAATTTTACACTTATATATATGTATATATATATATATAAGGAAACATTAAATTTGTTATTAAGCTATTCAATAAAATATTTAAGGAACATAAAAATTTGACTGTATTACAATAACAATTATATATTTTTAAAATATTTATATATAAGTGTAAATATATTTATGTAGATATAGAGCTGTTTTATTCTACCTATATTTCATTTAATGTAAATTTTTATTATTTATTAATAAATAAACTTTAAACAAATTTTTTATATATCAATTTTTGCGTTTGTTTTGGTCTTTAAATTCCATGCCATATCATACCATATCATACAATAAATATAGTAACACCTTGTATATAATACACGATAATATAAGAATATTATTGTATAAAACTTAAGAATATAACATATACATACTTTTGCATCTTATAATTAATATTTATAGTATCAAGAAAATTTTAATAAAAATCTTTAAGAAAACAAGAATAGCTATAAATATAAAATATACTGTGTGTATATGTATATATATATACTTATATACTATATACTTATATATATATATATATATATATATATACATATCTATTATAAGTATATAGTTTTTCAAAATATTAATCTTTGATATTGTTTTTTTATAGTATAGAAAATAATAAAATATGAAGAATATAAAATTTCATTAAAAACAATATGGAAAAATTTCACTGTAATATCATTTGATTAAATTTTAATAAAAGAGCACAATAATTATTAAAATCCTTTGCAAAAGGAATATATTGCTACATATTATTAGATTCTGAAGTTATGAGTGAAAAATTCTGTGTATCTATGAGTAAATCTTCATTTATATTTGTTTTTTCTTCTGATTCAAATTCATCTATATCTTCTCCATCAGTTATTACTTGAGGACCAGTGGATTTATATTGAAATGCTGAATGTGATAAATCAACTTCAACAGGAAATAACATTATTGCAGATAATAAGTCTCGTGTGTTAGAATAATATTTTGCTAAACCAGCTGCAAATTTTTGCATTTGCCATACAACATCTTGAACGTGTTTATTGTCTAATAATTCAAGTTTTACAAGTACATCTGATCTAAGTTTAGCAAATTTTGCTCGAGCTTCTTGTCGACATCTCAATACTAAACGATATTCATAATTTCCTGTCTCTACTCGATAAAGAGGTTCTTGTAATGCTGCATAACTTTGTTCTTCATCATCTAGTTCTTTTACTTTCAAACAATAAGAAAGATATTCAAACTTTGCATCAGCATATTTGCTAATAGTTAATCGAGTATCGGGAATAGCTTTATGAAGATATGTGCCTAGATCATTTAATATAGGTTTTAAAGTTTTTAAAATTGTTATTCCAAATTTTTCCATTTGTCTATGTTGTTCACCAAATTGTGTATATNTATATATATATATATATATATATATATATATATATATATATATATATATATATACATATCTATTATAAGTATATAGTTTTTCAAAATATTAATCTTTGATATTGTTTTTTTATAGTATAGAAAATAATAAAATATGAAGAATATAAAATTTCATTAAAAACAATATGGAAAAATTTCACTGTAATATCATTTGATTAAATTTTAATAAAAGAGCACAATAATTATTAAAATCCTTTGCAAAAGGAATATATTGCTACATATTATTAGATTCTGAAGTTATGAGTGAAAAATTCTGTGTATCTATGAGTAAATCTTCATTTATATTTGTTTTTTCTTCTGATTCAAATTCATCTATATCTTCTCCATCAGTTATTACTTGAGGACCAGTGGATTTATATTGAAATGCTGAATGTGATAAATCAACTTCAACAGGAAATAACATTATTGCAGATAATAAGTCTCGTGTGTTAGAATAATATTTTGCTAAACCAGCTGCAAATTTTTGCATTTGCCATACAACATCTTGAACGTGTTTATTGTCTAATAATTCAAGTTTTACAAGTACATCTGATCTAAGTTTAGCAAATTTTGCTCGAGCTTCTTGTCGACATCTCAATACTAAACGATATTCATAATTTCCTGTCTCTACTCGATAAAGAGGTTCTTGTAATGCTGCATAACTTTGTTCTTCATCATCTAGTTCTTTTACTTTCAAACAATAAGAAAGATATTCAAACTTTGCATCAGCATATTTGCTAATAGTTAATCGAGTATCGGGAATAGCTTTATGAAGATATGTGCCTAGATCATTTAATATAGGTTTTAAAGTTTTTAAAATTGTTATTCCAAATTTTTCCATTTGTCTATGTTGTTCACCAAATTGTCTGAAAGCTTCACTAGCTCGTGGTTGTGGTTCTCTTACTCCTATTGCAGCAAAGGCATCTCCAAATACTAAAATATACAATACAGAGTTTAATACATAAGAATATAATACAAATACTAATAGAATCATAATATACATATACAATACAAATTTAAAACTGTTTATAATTTAAGTAAATCTTAATATATTCTTGAATCATTCATATATTAAATATTTGTTTTAATTTTTAATAAATAATTAATTATATACATAATACTATCATATTATATAACAATATATATATACACACATATATAATATATGTATGTATACATAACATACATATAACTTGATAATCTAATTAAAAATTTCTAAACATACCTTTATATATTTGTATCAGATCAAAAAAAGCATGTAAAGTAGCTTTAGCATGAGAAACTAAACCTCTATACAAATTTTCTGTACGTTGTAATGCCATTAATCGTTGTACAAGAGCATCATTACAAAGAATGGCACGTGATAACCCTAGCGCATCTGCTGTTGCACTTCCCATTCCTTCAACTAACCTGTGTTTTACCTGAAATTCAATTCATTAATATAATTATAAAATAATTTATGATAAATATATAATTTTAATTACCTTTTTCAAAGCAATATCAAGAGTACGACCTTGTTTAGGATCAGCATGTAATTTATTATAATTAATACTGACTTGAGAATCACAAGATTGTATCATTTTTGCAACTTCTACTTTTGTTTTTCCTCTGACTGATGTTCCATTTACTGCTACAAGTTCATCTCCAGATTGTAAAGTACCATCTATTGCTGCTGGTGTATTATCAAAAATTTGTACAATATATAAGCAGGGACATAAGGGTGCTCCTCCTCCAATACTAATGCCTATAAGATTACTGCTGTCTTTTTGTATTACAACATTGCCAGAAGTTATAGTCATACCCCTACATAAATTAACAAAAAAAAACATATGTATATTAGATATCAATAATATAAATCTAATACTTAAATATATAATAATTATTTTTAAAATATAAGACTTATTTTAAAAAGAATATTTTTTAATATAATAAAATAATATATTATTATAATTTTGCAATATTTTCTATATTCTTACATAATATAAGGTAATTCTTATATTAGTTAACCCAAAGGCAATGTCATCAATTATTAAGTGAATAACATATGTAATTCATTATCCAATCTTCAATAAAAATTTTTCATTGTAAAATCAAAGAATAATAATGAAATAATTGTGTAAATGTAAATATATATATAGAATAAAAATAAAATACATATCTAAATCTAATCTAAAATATTGATATTGGGTTAATTAACAAAAAAATCACTATCTGTACTATTATCTGTAATAAATATTAATTATAAATATTATTTTCCTCTTTAATATTACACTTAATCATATACATTATATGATACATATAATACAAAATAAAACAAAATAATTTGAAAAGTTTCTATTTGTAATATCATGCAAAACAAAGCTTAATAATTAAAAAATAATAAAATAATTTAAATTTTGTCAAATATTAAAAAATTTTTTTAATTTTTTAATAATAAATGTTAAATGTTTATGTAATAAATATAAATATTAAAAATATTAAAAACATGAAATGACAATATTAATTTCAATAGCATACTATAAACAACAAAATTAAGTATCAAGTAATATAATATAAAATATAAGCATATATTATTAAAACTTACGTTGTATTATTAGATAAATGATGAAGAGACTGATCTTGATTGACCAGTTCTACATCTGGTCTATATTTCAATTAAAGAAAAAAAACATAGAGTTTATATTTTTTAATATACTAATATATTTTTATATATATTTATATATATATAAATATTTGACAAAAACTTTAATAAAAAATAAGATAATAAAACAAAAAAATGCATACATGCGATCTTCCATTGTGATAAATTGTTGCAATTGAACATTAGCCAATGACACGGTGGTTAAAGGAACAGAATTTTCTTTACATTCTTCAATAATATTTTTCAAAGAAATATTATCTGTAGATAATAATGTGTGATCCATTAAACTATCCCACCGTACCGTGGCATACAGACATGCATGTTGCAAGAAAAAAGAAACATATTTAAATTGAAGAGTAACATTCAATAAATAAATAATTAATTTTATAAAACCAACATCTTATCCTCTTCGAAGAAGAAATCATCTTCATAATCCATGTTTATAACCTGTAATATGAATAAATTGATGCTTAACACTTTGATTTCACAAATATATAAAATGTTTTTAAAGATTAAAAATAATTTTGATTAAAAAGATTAAAAATAAGATTTGATAACATAATATTAATTAAGAAAAATAAGAAAATATTCTGATATTAATTTTAGAGTTATAAGACATTTTCATTACTGAAGTATTAACTTTATATTATCTGTAATATATGTCACATACGACTTCTATTCATTTTGTTATATAAATTTATTTATAATGGCTGTTCTTTCATCTTGATCAATTGTTTTTAATTTATTATCTTATTCATTTATTTAAATAATAATAAAGTAAATTTTTTATTTTAAAAAATGATTATTTTAACAAAATACTTAAAAAAATATTATAGTTATATATTTTAAAAAAATATATTATATTTTTTTAACAAGTTATAGTTTAAAACAATTTTAATAAAAGTTTTTAAATTTGATAAAAGTTAATAATTTTTTATGTTATCATATATTATACATTATATATTATACAGGATTATATTTGAAAAACACCCTGTATATTATCAATAATAAATAAACAAAATAATTTAGTGATACATCAAAAAACTTATATTTTACATTTAATTTGTAATAAATTTTAAGATTATTTATAATATATGAAAATCAATACATACTAATACCTTACGAATTATTTTTATGAAAAAATCAATTCAATATAACACACATAAATTTTAATTCTTATTTCTAAAACATTCCCTATACAATGAGACTTATCTTGAGACATATCTCTTAATTAATGGTATCAAATTGAGAAAAGTTTCATTATAAAAAGAACACAATGCTTTATGTTAAATAAGCCAGAGATTAGAAATAATTTTAACTTCCAATTTTGATTTCAATTTTGTTATTAATCACGAAACTATCTCGAAACAAGTTTCATTGTATAAGGCATATTTGAAGGGTAAATGTCATAATCAATTTTTTCTCACTATTTTCATTGTTACACAAAAGTAAAAATAATCAAAAATAATTTAAATTAATTTTCAAAGCAAATATTCTAACATATTGATTTTTATGGTGGTCATTTTCTTCTGTATATATGTAATTGTTGAGTGAAACCAATTCAAAAACAATTGCTGAAAACATAAAACATTATACAAGTGTATTATATACTTACTTGTATTCTTATTGTTTGCTATAATTAATAAACACAATATTTTACCTTTTATCTTGTTGTACTTAATTTAATAAATATTTAAATATAAAAATTTAATTTTTTCTTATATAGCCAATTGAAAATTTTGGACAAGGTTGTTACACTTGAAGCGTTAAGACGCTCTATTCGTGGTTGTGTTTTAAATTTAAATACTTGAAACAAATTAATATAAATTAATACTTTCAAATCTTTACTAAAATTTAATAAGTTTTAATAAATTGAATGAAAAATATAACAAATTATAATAAATTATGTTCATACTTGATTAGTACAAGATCTTCAATAATAATTTTTAAAGATATCTTAACTAATGTTTTTATAATTGATGTTGATATGTTTTTTTAAATAACAAATTTCAATTAAATTGATTTTATAAAAACTAATTTGATTGGTATTTCATATTATTCTATTTACAATTTTTATTTTTAAAGTGAATGCTTTACATCGTAAAAATACCTCTTCTCCTAGCAACAAAAATAAATATATATTTAACGAGTTGAATTACAGTTAACTATGATAATTTTTAATTGAAATTAAAGTTCAATAAATTACAACTGCAAATAAAATAAATATTCTGATACAGAATATTTTAGGTAGGTTATATATTATAAAGTTATTATATTTTATATATGATTATCTTTATCATTATTTATGTATAAATTTTTTTAATTATAATAAACTATTATTATTGAGCAAAGATTAGAAAAAAACTTTTATTTTGTAATTATTTTAATAAAATATTTAAAAAAAATATTATATGTATTATTTATGATTTATTTTTTATTTTATTAAATTTTTTCTTAATCTATTTTAGAATACTCGCTTCAAATTAATTACAAGATATTAATTTAGTATTATGATAAAAATTAATATAGAATATATTTTCAAAAATAAAATTATATTTTTAAAAATTTTTAAATTTATATTCTTCAAATTAATATTTACATATAACTTTTCTCAAATATTTAAATTTAGATTTGTCTTTATCTACAGCAAGAATACATGAAAGAGAAGTAAATAATATAGTATATAGTATATAATATAAAAATAAAATAAAAATTAAGATATCAGCGCCATCTCCTGAATATCGCAAATAAAACTAAGCAAATAGCAGAAGGATAGAGTACGATATCTGATTAACTTTTTGCTTTTTATCCTCTATCTTATCTATAATTATATTAATCTAAGACACATGTAATATGAATAAGTAGAAATAATAATGGGTTTATTAACAGATCCTCGAGCAGGATCAGGAAAAATAATAAAATTTTTATTAAAATGGGAACGGCCCCTTTGTTATTTTTTATACATAAGTGGTATTATATGGATGTTACTTCTTCCTTTACCCGTATTTAATGATAGTAAGTATAAGTATAAAAGTTAAGTAGTAAGTATAAAATTGAAATATATTATCAAAATATTACAAATTAAAAGGAATAGATTATACTTTGTATTAATTAAATCATTATATGAATTAGATAAAATTTAGATTATTTAATTATTAGAGTGCAATAAAATATAATATTTCATAATTTGTATAGAATATTTTAAATTAAAGATTTTTTTTTAATTACTTTATTCTCTATATATTATATAATTTTATTATTATTTTATATATACGTGTATTTTTTATATTTTTTATTTTAAATTTTTTATATTTTTAATATATTCAAAAATTATATAAATAGAAATCAAATATGTAAATCAGATATTTAAAATATTTAATATTATATATAATATTAATATAATTATAATATATATATATAATATTATAATTAATATTGCAGGATATATTATTAATAATATATATATTTTTTAAATGTATAGATACTTATTTCTCTGAAAATGCTTTATTACCAGGATTGGTTACAAAAGAAAGTAATTTGGAACAAATAGCAAAGCATTATTATGTACACTTATTGCATGAAATGAAACGATATCCAGATATGATGCCATATGCATGGTTAACTGCTACATTAAACCAGCTTCATTTAGATGTTTTTCTACATAATTTTACATTAATATATCCTTTCCAAGAACAACAAGTAAGTATATAAAAAAGATATTTTTTATTAAGTAAAAATTTGTTTAAATATTTTTTAAAGTTATTTATTAAATGATAAATTATTTCTTTATCATTATCAAACAAGAAATTATAATAGTAAAGTATAAAGTATTTATAGTTTATAGGTCAAAATATATATGGAATTATAAGAGCTCCAAGAGCAGCCAGTACAGAAGCAATTGTAGTAAGTGTTCCTTTTAGACCAATTAATAGTATTTATTTGGATACTACACCTTCTATTGCTCTACTTCTTGCATTTGCTAAATTTTGTAGAAGTAAGTATTTATATAAATATATGAATTAAATATTGTTATATTAATATTGTTAGTTATTTTATAATATTATCTTTTGATAAAATAGAAAGTATTTTTGTATTATTTAGAATATTTATATTTATATTAATATGAACATTTATAAATATATTATAAAAATATAAATATATCATATAAAGGAAATAAATGAAAATTTAAAAGTAAATGTAAAAATAAAATATAATTTTATTTAATATTTTATGTATTTTATATAATTAAATAATAAATATATATATTTAATTAATATATCATAAAATTTTATTGAATTTTATTAAATTTTATAGAACAAAAATATTGGGCAAAGGATATTATATTTTTAATAACAGAACATGAACAATTAGGAATACAAGCATGGTTAGATGCATATCATGGAGTTATAAGTGGCAATGAAGGGGTATTATTATCTGGAGATCTTCCTGGTCGTGCTGGTTCAATTCAAGCTGCTATTAATTTAGAGTTACATTCAATGAAGATTTCATCTATTGATGTTAAGGTATTTTCTATTACCTTTTTTTATTGAAGTTATATAATAATTATTATAATATTTATAATAAAAAATTATATTCCATTTTAATTTTATAATAATTTTTTTCATTTTGTGTAATTTATATATATATATATATATAATATATTTATATAGAATAATTTGTTAAAAAAATGGTGAAATAATATAAATCTTTATTATTGTTTTATTATTTGCTAGATAGAAGGATTAAATGGACGATTACCCAATTTAGATCTTTTTAATTTGGCACAAAATATGATAGCTAAAGAAGGAATTCGGCAATCTTTTCAAAGACGTTTTGATGTTAAATATAAAAACAATTTAAAAATTGGTGGTATCATTTTAATACTCTTCTGATGATGATCACAAGTCAAGCTACTGGAATTCCAACAGGAAATCATGGATTATTCCATAGGTATTTAAAAAATAATAAATATAAAAAATCATAAAAAAATAATTTTTAATTATTATGAGTTTTTTAATTTATTATGAGTTTAATTATTAATTATATTTAATATCTTAATTATTATGACTTTTTTTAATAAAATTTATTTAATAACTTTTTCTGAATTGTTATTATAGATTTGGTATTGAAGCAATTACTTTAGAAGGTTTTGAAAAACCTGGTCACCAAAGTTCTGATGGAAATTTTTATCAAGTTGGTCGTATTGTAGAAAGTATTATACGATCATTAAATAATTTGTTAGAACGTTTTCATCAATCTTATTTCTTTTATTACTTCCATCAACTGATACTTACATTTCTATTGGTAAGTAAACAATAATAATTATTATATAAAATAAAAATTTTTTTTGAAATTTACCTTTGTTAATTTCTATTTTATCTTTGTTAATAAGAAATTATTTAAAAATTTATAAATTATTTCAAAAATAGAAAATTTTTAAATAATTTTAAATAGATATAATTATTAAAAGTTTGTTATATATTTATTTAAAAGTCTATTATATATTTAATAAATAAAATATGAATAATTAACATTTAAAAAATATTTTAGGACTTTATATAAGATCTTTAGTCTTAATTATTGCTGGAATATTTATAAAAGCTTTTTCCATGTGGCAAAGACTTCAAATATCTAATTCTGTAGAAGATAAAAAAATTTCTATTATTAAACAACCAAAGGTTTGTTTTTATAATTATATTATTAATTTATATATATTTACAAAACTAATTATTAATTGAAAGTTATATTATAAAGAAAAAAAAATAGAATAAATTTATTAATTTATTAATGATAATAAATGTAATTCAATAATATTATTTAATATTATGATTTTGTATTTCAATTTTTGTAAATATATATTTTATAGGATGATAGATTGGATATTGGTATTATTACATCAGAAATATTATGGGTTCATATCTGTGGAATTGTGATTACAACATCCCCAATTGTATTTACTTATTTTGGCAAAGAAATGAATTTTCGTACAGAAGATTCTATATATTTTGGTTTCATGGCTATAACTATTTTAACACTAATATGGCCTTTATATTGCAAACGGTAATTTTACTATTGATTAATTATTATATATGTTTCATATATTATATTTTATTAAATTTTTATTTTTAGACAAATAAAGTATAAAAATGCAGTTTTAGTTTGTGTAATTGCATTAGTAGAATTAGGTACAATATTAATGTGTATGGCAATGCATAATTTTTCTCTAGCACTCCTTGTGGCTGTAATTTATGTACCTATTATTCTATCAATAACACCAAAACAAAATTTCACAAAGTAAGTCTACCTTGAAAATAATTTTTTGATTATATTAAAATTGTTTATTTTATATTATTTATATTTTATTTAATTATTATAATAAAATTACTTTTACTATATATTTGTTATAATAAAAATAAAAAATAATATAAATTTAAAAATCAAAATATATGTTTATAATTATTTATATTTATTTTATTCAATTTATTTTTCTTTTATTTGTTTATTTGTTTATTATTAAGAATTATTGAATTATGATTTATTATGAATTAAAATTCTTAATAAAAATAATTAATAGAAATTATTTAAAATATATTTGACATTATTTTATATTTCTCATAATAAAACTCATAATTTATGAAATTATGTTTCAGAGTTCACAAAATGCTATCTCTTATCTGGGTTTTTCTACATCCATTTATAATTGCAAGTTTATTCATAATATGTTATACATATGTGAACTTTTCTTCAGATTCTTTATTTTCAATATTATTTCGTGGACATCGTGCTATAAAACAAGCATTTGTATTTAGTATTATGGATTCAATGATTTATGGAAATTGGTTATATAATGTAACAGTTTCTATAATGTTTCCTATTTGGATTTTATTTTGGAATATTTTATGTTCTAATAGTAGTATAAACTTATAATATATATATAATTTTTAATATTTAATATATAAATAAACTTTTTTATAATAAAGATTATAATAAAAATGATATAGTTTTATTAATATTTCTTACTGTTATTATTATTTAACGATATATAAATGATATATTATATATTTCATTATTTCATTATTCAATTTTGAAAAACTATAATTACTATCATAGTATAATTAATAATTATAGTTTAGTATAATTACTATCATAGTAAAATAATAGTAAAATAATAAAATACATAATAAATATATAATAAAATAAATATATTTTTGAAAAATTAAAATTACTATATCAATAATTAATTAATTTTTTTAATTATATTATTTTAAATTATATTAGATAATCATAACTTAATATAAAATATGTAGAAAATTTATAATTAGCACATTATATTTATTAAAATAAATATTATAAAATATAACATTGTAAAATATGGTAATATATAAAATATAATAAGAATTTTTTGAATTTATTATATTTTATATTATTCAATATATATGCATGAAAAATATAATTTTTTTTATCATTTTCATAAAACAAAATAATTTATTTAATTCTTGTATAATTATAAAATATTTAAATTTTTTATTAAATAAAAGATACATATAAAATAATTGAAAATATGTATAATATTTTTTTCCTTTATTTTTAATTAATTAATATTATTTTTGAATTATTATTTAATTTTTTTGTATTATTATTTTTTTTTATATATGAAAAGTAAAATGAAAATTTTATGATTCTTTATAGATGTCGCCATTTTAATAGTTTCCGTGGAAACCATGAAAACAAACTTTTATAGAAAAATAATGACAATAATTTCTTAAAATAAATAAAAGTATCTTTCGTGGAAATCATGAAAGCTTCTCCAACTTGGGTTGATAAAGTTCAAGATAAATCTGAACAATGGTAAATATAAAAATATAAAAATATAAAAAAAGTCATATATTTAATATATTTTTTATTAATTTTTTCATATATTTAATATAAAATAACCATAATTTAAAATATATTAATATAAATAATATGATAAAAATATTATTTTTACATTTTTTTATATTTTTAGTAAGCAATATTGTACTTAATAATGTTTTAATTATAATGTATTTTTTTTATAATATTACTAGTAATAAAATTTATTAATGATAATATATTATGATAATTATTTCTATAATTAATTATATTTTAAATATATTTTAATTTATTTTTTTAATATTTGTAAATTTAAATTTATATAAATTTGAATTAAAAATTTTTTTATAGAAAAATAAAATCATTTTATTAAAAAATTAATTTTATGTTTTTATCGCATAAAAAACATCTTTTTTGTACATCCATTATTATTATTTTGTATTATTTATGATAATAAATATTATTCATATTGTTGCAGTATATATGATTTATGTTTTAATCCGGATGGAACTCAATTAGTTATTGCTGCTGGTCAACAAGTTCTTGTTTATGAAACTAATGAAGGTACTTTAATTCAACCATTAAAAGGTAATTAAATTTATTCCAATATAAAATATAATCTATATAATGATATATGATCTGTTATATATTATATATATATTATTTTGTAACTTATAGGTCATAAAGATGTTGTTTATTGTGTATGTTATGCAAAAGATGGTAAAAAATTTGCATCAGGTAGTGCAGATAAAAGTGTTATCATTTGGACATCAAGATTAGAGGGTATACTTAAATATTCGTAAGTTATTTTTATTTTGTATATTATCTAAATAATAATAATAGATATAACTATATAATAATAATAGATTATAATTAAATACAAAATGTAAAATTTATTATTAAATAAAATTATATATTTATAAATTTTTTGTAACTATATATTATAAAATTTTTATTGATTATATATTTATAATACTGTTTTAGACATAATGAAGCTGTTCAAACCATGCAATTCAATCCAGTATCACATCAACTTTTAAGTTGTTCTTTATCAGATATAGCATTTTGGTCTCCAGAACAAAAAGCTGTTGTAAAGCATAAATCAAGAGGAAGAGTAAATTGTTGTGCTTGGACAAGAGATGGTCAATATCTAGCAATTGGTTTAGCATCTGGCTATGTTTCTATAAGAAATAAAGTTTGTTTTATTTATATGAATTATGTATTATCAAAAATCTTAAAATATAATCTTATCAAAAAAATCTTAGAATATAATTTTAAAATATATTATTTTTTTGTTTTTTTTATTTTTTTAATTTAAGTAATGTTAATTAATAATGTTTAGTAATTATCATTAAAAATTTTTATAAAAAAAAATATATATATATATATATATGGAAATTATTTTTAACTTATTATAATATTTTTAGAATGGAGAAGAACAGACACGAATTGAGAGACAATCTGGAACACCTATTTGGAGTTTATTATGGAGTAGACAATGGTAAAAAAAAATAATTATGTATAATAAATATAACTTATGTTAAAATTTATATTCTTTAATTTATTATTTTTGATTATTTTAACTTTTAAATTTTATTTTATTATATCATGCTATAATTTATAATATAATAATCTTATTTTAAATATTTTCTATATAGAATAAGTGAAATTGTAGTAATCAATTTCTATATTATTCACAGGGAAGAATCAACAGATGTTCTCTGTATTGCTGAATGGAATGGGACCATATCTTTTTATTCAATTTCAGGCAAACCATTTGGAAAAGATAGATTACTTAATTTTATACCTCTTAAAATGTGTAATTTTGCAGGAGGTCAATATATTTTAGTTTGTGGAAGTAATAAACAATGCATACTTATGACACATGATGGAATACAATTAATTAATGTTGGTGGAATATTTTCTTCTTGGATTTGGAGTTGTGCTGTACATCCAACTTCTACACATGTTGTATGATTAAAAATTCCATCATTCAATTTCTAATTAAAAAATGTTTATTTTCTTTAATTCATAATTGTATAATTTTATTATTTTATAATATACTTTGGTAAAATATCAAAGTATATTTATATCAAATTATAAAATTTATAATATATTTATAATATAATTATCTACAAAGTTATTATATGTTTGTTTTCTAGGCTCTTGGTTGTCAAGATGGAATAGTAACATATTTGCAGTTATCTTGGGACATTATACATGGATTATATGGAGATAGATATGCATTTAGAGAAAATATGACTGATGTAATAATACAAAATTTAATTACTAGTCAAAAAGTTCGTATTAAATGTAAAGATTTAGTAAGTAAAAAAAGTACTTTTATAATAAATTAAAATTTTAGACATAACTTTTTAATTTTTAAATTGAAATATGTAGAAAAATATTTTTTATATATTATATATTATATTATTATATATTATTATATTTAATATATTATATAAAATGATAAATTATGATTGAATTTAAAAAATGAATATATATTATATTACTAAAATTACTTTTTAGATACATCGCATTGCTGTGTACAAGAATAGATTAGCAGTTCAATTATCAGAACGAGTAATAATTTATGAACCATCCAATTCTAATGATGGAATGCATTATCGCATATATGAAAAATTAAATCAAGCATTAAGTTGTAATTTATTAGTCATAACTACAAATAATTTAATTTTATGTACAGAAAGAAGATTGCAAAGTTTATCTTTTAATGGTATAATAGAAAGAGAATGGATACTCGATGGACTTATAACTTATATAAAAGTTGTTGGTGGACCAGTTGGACAAGAATGTCTTATTGTAGGTTTGTATAATTTTATATGAATTAATATAAAAAAAAATATTTTATTTAATAATAAAATAAAATTAATATTTGCAATTTTTTAATATTTATAAAAATTATTAATTTAATTATATTATCATAATTAATTATTAATATTAATATTAACATTACTTGTTAATATTACTAAACTTTTATTTATATTAATTTAATCATTTTTTTATATTAGCAATTCATAATTTTTTTATTTAATTGTTTTTACTATTAAATAAAATTAAGATATTTAATAAATTTTTGTTTTTATATTTTTTAGGTTTAAACACTGGATATATAGTAAAAATATATTTAGATAATCCTTTTCCAGCATACTTACTAAAGATTGAAAGTTCTATAAGATGCCTTGATATTAGTTCATTAAAAGAAAAACTTGCTGTTGTTAGTGATCATGGAATTCTTTATGTGTTTGATTTATATACAGAAGAAAAACTTCAAGAATTTCAAAATGTAAATAGTGTGGCTTTTAATACTTGTTTTGAAGAAATAATGTGTTTTTCAACTGGAGAATATTTAGCAATAAAAGTAGGGAATTTTACAGAATATAGACAAAAATTTTCTGGACTTGTTATGGGTCATAATAAATCAAAAGTATACTGCTTAAATGGTTGTTCTATTGTTACCATAGAGGTAAGTTTCTGTTTTAATTATAAATAATTACTACATATTGTAAACAATATTATTATACTAAAATATTATTATTTATATATAGGTCCCATTATCATTATTTATGTATCAGTATATTGATATTAGTCTTTTTTCTGATGCTTATAATATAGCATGTCTTGGAGTAGCAGATTCTGACTGGTTTGCTCTAGGAATTGCTGCATTAGAAAATTTAGAATTAAATATTGCATACTCTTCTTTTGCTAGAGTTAAAAATTTAAGATATATAGAAGTTTTATCAGAAGTAGAAGAAAAACTTAAATCTGGAGAATGGGGACGAGAAGCATGTATGGCTACTACTGCAGCTGCTATGGGAAAGCTAAAAGATGCTGCAAAACTTTTTCAAAAGGCTGGTTTACAACAATATGCATTAGCTATGTATTCTGATTTACGTATGTTTGATATTGCACAAGAATTTATTGTTAGTGGAAACAATCAGGTTAGTAAAATATATATTTAATATATTATTTTTAAAAATAATAAACATTTAAACATTTATTTAAAAAAAATAATAACAAAAACTTTTAATAATATGCTTAGGATCGTACAATTTTACTTCGTAAACGAGCAGAATGGGCTAAAAGTCTTGGAGAACCTCGTGCTGCAGCAGAA